AGAATCAGCGAACATTCTCATCTCGTTGTCCTTGAAAGAATAGAACCAGCTTTGGAATGGCTGGACACAGGTCAATGCCTCATGGTGATTGCACATCTTGCTACTCATCGTCTCAGTGGCGGCTTCAGGAAGAGGAGCTGAGTTATAGAAAAATAAACAGCATGAAGAATAAACACAAATAATTGGTATAGATACTTAATAATAACTAATTTTTTTTCTGTATGCAATTTTTAAACATAATATGAAGAAATTGGGTATATTGTCGAAATATTGTTAAACTGTGTCTTTTCTTTTTTTTTTCTTAAATCGTACTCTTCTCTAAGTGTTGAAACTATTGAAAGAGCAACGTCAATCCTTTTGTTTATAAATAATAATAATAATAATAATAATAATATGTAGAAGATGATAGTGATGACGAATCAGATGAACATTAAGTAAAATAAATGAATAATTATTAAAATTAGAAAATAAAAATGGAAATAATTGTTATAAATTGATAATATTAATAAATAAATAATAAGAACAAGAAGAAAGATTTGGCAAAGAAAAAGGGTAATTATTATTATCATATTATAATTCTACTTTTTTGTTAGTTAGCACTGACGTTACGCCATGCCAATATATGAATATATATATAAATAATAGACTATTTCGTTTTGATCGCGAGGAAAGACGGAAAAGATATATCAGAGAGGCTGTTTGGTTTCACTGAGAAAAAGAAAGCAAAGGAAAACAAATATCTCTCGGAAGAAAAAGATTAGCAACATAACGACAAAGACAGCGACGACAAGTTGAAACAAGACGATCATTTAATAGACAAAAGTATCCGAGTGCCTCACATGAAAGGCTTGAATAAATAAAACTGCTATGTAGGAGTAAAAAAAAAATGATTAATTAAACTGTGCCTTTTGTTCAGGAAGTAATTTTGTCTAAATGCAAATAAATACTTTATTTGTACAGATTATTAAATCGACTAAGGGAAGCAATCACATATAAATTTACTAACTTACTTTGATTTAACTCCCTTCAAACAAATGGGACAGGAAATATATAAATAAATGCACATGATATATATAAATAAATACACATTGACAATAATTATATGGTTCGATTATTCTAAACATACATAAAACACAGGCCATTAACATGCTTAACAATGATGTGGCAAATTGTAACAGCTGGAATAACCGAAGAAATCTACTCAAAACGAAGGACTCCTTCCCAAGGAAAAGAAAGAATGCCGGAAAGGAATCAGAGTGATGAGCAATCTATTGTACATCGATCAAAACATATTGAAAGAAATTAAAAAGAAAAAGAATACAGTCGTGACATGGATAGGCTAAAAAAAAGCCTACAATATGATCCACAACTCTGGTGAATAGAAAGCCTGAAGATATTTGTAAAATTCAGAAGTGATAGACTTTAGAATGAATTATTTACATGTGGAATATTGTCCTCATCTTTGTTGTTATTATCACAACTTTTCGGTCGTTGGGCCATACGTCTTTCATCAGGTTTTGTGAATCCGGGTAATCCTCTTGGAAATTCGGACTAAACCCTTTATTTAGTCTACGCGATTCTCGTTTCGCTGATCATGTCTAGAAATATCTCATCTATATTTTTATTCAGTTCTACTCAATTACTGTTTTTACCCTGTTTCCACTGAGTTCAAATCTCTACTACCCGGGCAAGGGTGGGAGAATGAGTTCACAATTACATTGATACTAAATTCATGAACCAAAGCTTTAATACAATGGGTTACTTTCCCGTAGTTATAGAGAAAAAGTGAAAACTGGAAAGTGAAAATAAACACAGGATTGTTGTTTTAAAAAGTAATGATTAGAATTGTAATAAAACCTAAACATATGATGAAAATGAATTTATATATTTTTTTTGCATTCTTAAGAATTTACAACAAAAATATTAAACAATATTTACTTATTAGATTGTTTATTTACAAGAATAACTTTATATTGAGAACATTCTAAAAACTAATAGAATTAAAAGTAATGCAATGCAATATTTATCATTTACTAATTTATAAAGAAATAAATATTAAATCAATTTTTTATTCATAAATTTATAAAGATTTAGTAAATGATTAAAATATGTAAACCAACTATAATGAAATCTTTATTATTTACAATTTTATAAAGTTCGAATCTATTGGCAATTAGCCGATGTTTTGTCAAATGTTTCCAGTAATCAATCCAATAGATAAATAGTATTTATTATGTTTGTTGTCACTTTCCAAGAACAAAGACAATGTATAAATTCACTTTCATATGTTTAGGTTTAATTAGAATTCTAAACATGGTTTTTTAAAAGAATAAACATTACCGAGGAAGGTAGTTAAAATAACAGCGGTGTCAATGGAAAAACCCTCCTTTTGGCACTACGTTTTTTTTTTTTTTTTTTTTTTTTTTTGCAGGCACAAACGTCCAAGTTTGCCCATTGCAGGTTACTTGTGTAGTGGTAAATGAAATGGCATAATGACGAGCAATCATATTACTGGAATCTATTTTTTTAGTATAAAAGATATGAAAACCAAACATTTTTTGTGTGTGTGAAACTTTCGATTTTCGGAGATATTCTGTTTTCAGAATTTTAGGTAAGAGAATGTCTATATAAAGATATTTTTTTTTTTTTACGAAATGAAAAACTTTGTGAGCGGTATTATTATTTCAATAGTTTAGTCATAAGCTGTCGTTCAAAGAGAAAAGATGCAATGATCAATCGGCTGTGTGAATAGCACTCGAATCAAGGCAACAAAATCAGTACAATATTATTCCAAGCGCCAAAGGAAAACACAATGCCTGCCTCAAAAATCGGCATTCGTAGTCTTGATTTTTTTTTTTTTTACCAGGGTTCGTGTACTGACCACTGAAAAAAAAACGCGCAACTATCTCAACCACAAACTTACCTTATCTCTATTGATGAGTACTTAAAAAATATTATTATTATTATTATTATTATTTCTTTTGATTTCTGTTGTATATACATTTCCTTACAGGTTCCAACCACAGACCTAAGGTCAGAAATGGTTTACTGACATTTTCCACTGATCATTTTTTTAAGAAAAAACACAAAAAATAAAAATAAGATCATACACATTTTACATAGTTAAAGCTCTTCGTAATATTTGAACTATACTTGTGAGCACAATATTTTGTATTTCATTATTATTATTATTAGTAGTAGTAGTAGTAGTAGTAGTATAACGAATATCGAAATTCAAGAAATATATGAGATTATTTTTGAGCATATCAAGCATGCAGGTACACAACGACTTATCCAAAGTTATGAAAACTTGATATTCTGAAAGGTAATCTCACGTGTGTGTGTGTGTGTGTGTGTGTGTGTGTGTGTGTGTGTGTAATTTTTTTTTAGAAATAGGTCGGTATTAATAATATCTTGCATAAATTAGAAGGAATTGTATTGTCTGCATGGAAAATATACAGATATTAAGTAAATAAAAGAAACTATTAATATGGACCCATTCCAAAGAAAATAGGAGAAATTATATTGTCGACATAGGAAAAATACAAATGTTAAATAAATATAAGAATATATTGGGCTGGCTCAAAAGTTTGTTCGTTTTATTAAGTAAATTTTCTACTTAATAACCGAACGATCCTTTTGTCCAACCAATATATATATATATATATATATATATATATATATATATATATATATATAGGGACAGTGACCGACCACGACTGCTAGTTTCATACGATTTCGCGCAAACATCAAGCGGTCGGAACCTGTATTGTGTGAAAATAGGAACTCTTATACTTCCAGACAGATCAAAAATGGTAAGCCAACCAAACTTACCAGGGGTAGGGTAAACTACCCGGCCAAGATCAAAATAGCCAAAAGAATAAAATAAAATAAAAAATAAAAATAAGAAAAAACAACAACAAAAAAACAGCAAGAATTATTTACCGGTGCGACAAAAAAGTGCTCAATGTCTAGGGAGCAATAGCTTACTGCTTCAATCAACAATGTGCTCTACAATACCGTTCCATGTCAGAGCATTTATAATTAAAAATAATAATAACCAGCTCCCAAAAGTGTCTGCCTAAGATTGCACACAGGAAATAAGAGTGCTCAATGCCATAGTAAATGGCAGAGCTTTACTATATTTTTTAAGTAAAATTCTTAATTTTGTGACACTATATGTGGGTCAGGAGCAGGTTTGAAGAGTTACATGAGAGTGCATAAAACCAGATAAACTTTAAGATGATACATAATTCTTTCGTCTTCGATACATACAGGATAGTCTTCAGAAGTGAACCCAGACATTAAGACACTTACTAACGGCTACTTAATCGAGAACTGAAAAGATAGGCTTCTTCTGATCAATATATATTTGAAACTATCACTTTTCACGGAGCCAACCAATAATTGTGTGCGAGTAACGAGATGAAAGTTCAAATTCTGTCATTATAAAGATTTCGTAATATGATTATCTATGTATTTATTTATATGTCTTCATATAGTGGTTTATTGCAGCCTTGAACAGTTACACATGCTTATATATATATATATATATATATATATATATATATATATATATATATATATATAAGTAGATGAAGTCAGGTGCAATATTTCTGTTACTTACATGGGGTATGTGTTGAGTATTCGCAGTTCATGAAGAGACGTCCAAACTGCCACATCATATTGTTCAAGTTGTACATAAAGTTATCAGATTCCTTATTACAGTAATTCTTCATTTCATGTGAGCACTGCCTCATCTTCATCAGTCCACTGGAAATAAAGATTTAATGAAGATATGATAACAATTTTTATATCTTATTCCTAAGGTTTCTTTTCGAAATGATACCTTAATTAATCATTCAGGAACTTCTATTTATTATATAGAAAACATATTTTCTTGAAGTCAAAGTTTATTTGAAATTATACTTAATAAACAGCTTGTATGTAATATATGCATTGACAATAATGCTGAAAACTTGCTAAACATAAAAACTGACTTACTTGCAAATAGTGTTGCGGTATTGGGCATCGTAATTGTAAAACGCCCAATATTCTGGTCTTCCATAGTTCATGTCATGACGCCAGTAATTCCTGCCGTAATAATAACGATTATTATTATATCTCCAGTCTCTGCCGTAATCATCATAGTAATATCCATCACCGTATCCAGAAGCCTTGTGATAAGGCTGGTCATCATCATAGCCGTAACGGTTGTAGTGTCTCCAAGAGTAATAATCCTGTTCATAACGGTCAGGTCTGTTGTGCATATCATGACGTCCGTAGTCATTCATATTCCTGTAATCGTCATAATAGTCACCACCTTGCGCTGCGGGGTCAGGTTTAGCTTCGGCGTTGGCAGCGGCAGCAAATTCGCCATCAGTTTTTTCTGGAGTCTCACTGTTCAGACGCTCGTAACTCCTGGTATAGTACTCGTTACCGTGAGTATTATCTCTCCAGACTCTGTCACGGCGATTGTAATAACGGTCATGGTAGCGATCGTAGTTCCACTGGTTGTTTCTGTTGTAGTACTCCTGGCCATAATAATCTTTGTTGTAGTATTCACGGTTGCTGTCGCCGCGATTGGGCCAATAGCCGTTCGGGTAGTACTCACGATTACGATATCTGTCGTGTCTGTTGAAGTAACGCCAGTTGCGACGGTTCCATCTCGCATCAGAATCGGCGTCAGCATCGGAGTCTGGAGTGGAATCGTTCTCTGGTTCAGCCTCGGCCCTAGTCTGCTCGGGGGGCATCTCTCCAGCTGGGATCTCTCCATCATCGTCTGTACGGTCCATATCAGTAATGTCGTATTCGTCAAAGAAGGTTCCGAAGTCGCGGCGGAAGTCGCGATTTCCGTATTCGTAATCATGCTCAAAGAAGTGCTTGTGATGGAGTTCCGAAGATGAATAGCACAAACGAACCTTCTCCTGTACTTTCTTTTTGTTATGATGGAAGCAACTCTGGAATTTCTGGTAATCTGTGGGGAGTGAAAAAGGTAGAAAGAACATATTTGAATCATGCTGTAAACAACAGAGAATCAAATGTTACAAAATAAAGGCATGAACCTAATCAGAATATTTATCACATTTTATATTTTTATTTTTTATATTTTATTTTATATTTGTAGGGATAAAATATTCACATAAATTGTGTCTCTTATCTCCTATTTTGCAACCATTTACATCGAGTGGCTCTTGGGCCTTGTACAGAGTGAATATTGTTGAAAAATCAATGTTCTTCACATATTGTAATAAACGTTAGTAGATAGTTCTTCAAAGATTCAATTCACTATTGAAACTTGTTTTACTTATGTTCACCCAAGGATTAAGAGCTACTCAAGGTAGAGAGTTACTGAATGAGGTGTGTAAAATAAATGTGTAGAGTAGAACGCAGGAAGTGAGGATTATGTGTAAATACAGGATAAGTAACAACCAACCTTTGACTTGATGAGGTTAAGATTGTAGCTTTCGAGGAAACATCCACTTGGGACTCTGTTACACAAAGCATTTGTTCTTGGGAAAAGCTGAGTAGACCTAAGAATTGAAAGATTCCATGGACGCAGCATATGTGTAATGAAGAAAAACCAAAGAATGGAGCTCGTCTGAACATTTGCTATGAAAATTGCGATAGAGTAGCAAAGGTCTTGCGATGTTGCGCCTACAGGGTGGAGAATAGATCGTCTCCCACTGGGCCGAGTAAACGACTTTAGACTCTATCAAGGTTGGAATTAATATTTTTCAATAATTTTAACAGCTACATAAGAATGAACAGATATAAATGCAGAGACAGATGACTAAGAGTCTGAGATAGATAGATAGATAGATAGATAGATAGATAGATAGATAGATAGATAGATAGATAGATAGATAGATAGGAGCCCGAGGTATAAGCAAATAGACTACAGCTGATAAAGAAGATAGAAAATTAGATAAATAAATATTGGTAAACACACAGATAAATGTGAACAGACATGCCCGAAAGAAATATATTTTTACCATGTAGACCCTGTAGATTTTACAAGTAGATAAATCTAATTACTACTAAGAAGTACGAAAATTATATTGTGTCAGTTTTTTAAACCGAAGAGAAATTGCCTAGAAAATTTACTTTCGAAATCGCCGCTTTTACTTGAGTGAGAACACCAGAGGCAAATTACCTCATTCACAAAGTACAATTGAAGATGACTGAGAGACGAGTGATGTGCAATATACAGTGACAGATATTAATCTGATGGTAGACTCAGGAGGAAAACTTCAAAAAACTCCAAGAGAAGATAGCAAAGAAAAGGAAGTAGAAAGAACTATTGACAATAAGAAAACAGAATGTATGATTGTCAGCAAAAGCGACAGAAAATGGCTGCAGATTCCAATAAAGGACGCTAGAATCAAGCAGATACAAAAATGTAACCATTTGGGAAGTGTAATAACGGACGGCGGAAATAGTGACACAGAGATACGAAAGTGCACCTAAATAACGAAAGGAGCCTTCCCCAAACAAAGCAGAGTACTATGACAGGAATATTGCTATAAAAGCAAAGAAAAGAGAGCTGGTCTATTATTTTATATCCATTATTCTATATGGTAGTGAATGCTAAACAATTTCTTTACAGATTAAGAAACACCTGGAAGGGAAAAAGACGTAGTTCTGCAAATGGACAGGATATGTAACCAATGAGGAAGTTCTGAAGACAATGGAAACTAATAATAATATTACAACTAAAAATAAGTGAAAATACGAGAATTTAACGTATTTTCCAGGCCAGAATTTAAAGCATTTTTCAGGTCAGAATTTAACATTTTAAAAGCACCCAATAGATAACTAGAGTTATAATATTCAATAAATCAAGAAAAGTTCAATTGGCTCTTCTGACTGACGGACTCAAAAGTTCGATAAACCTTTAAATCGAGCATTTGGCATTGACGAGCGTTTCGACACGAAACACTTGAGTCGTTCAATCTGATGAGTCAATTGAACGTTTGTTGATTTATTTTAAATTGGAACTAGAAACACACGTGAAATTAAAATCAGAAAAAAATACTGTTGCAATATCTGGGACACGTTTTGAGTAAAGACGGATTGGAAAATGTAATACCCACAGGGTATATTGAGGGAAGAAGAGTTAGAAGGAAACAGCGAACAATTTACCGTACAATTTTGTGTAAACCGATGACAGATCAAAGACAATGTCGGATACGAAAGAATCAATATTTGCTTCGAGCTACAAGAGACAGGAAGTTGTGAAGAGTCATGATCGCCTATGCCCTGAAGAGCCACAGCACATAAATAACGATGATTCTAACGTATGCCAACGAAGTATAAAGCAATTGCTGATGGCCACACACACTATTAATGGACGGAGAAAGTCTTAACTGTAGGATGATAAATAATTAAAATAAAACAGAAATATGAAAGAACACGACAGTGTTTACTTCGGTATAGCAGGTCGTAGTCTTGTAGAAGAAGTACCAATAAACTATCTAAAATAAATATGGAATGTAATTTCACTTTTGAGATTGTTAGATTTTACCGCAAGTTCTATGCAAATAGTTTCTTCTCTCGCAGTTCTCACTTCCTGCACTCCTGTCAATTCCGATCTTCATTAATTTAAATGCAATGTCAATCGTAATCTTCTGTCTCCTTGAAACCTGTTCTTTTATTGTCCTTTCCGTTTCTTTCACTCTCAGTAACCCCTTGCATCCTAGTGGCTTCTGTCGCTTTGTTTGGAGTAACAAAACAAAAAAAAGAACGATTTAACTGAATGCACAAAACACAGAAACAGGTGTTCAACAAAGATGTGTGTTTCTAACCGAATATATTTAACCCGTACAGTGAGATGTTACTAAAAGGAATATTATTGGCCCTGATCTGGCGTTTAGGATTCAGTCCCTTTCCCACCGCCATAAAGTTACCTCCCTTTGCCTTTTCTATAAATACCTTCATGGAAAATGTTCGGAGGAACTCTTCGCTATGGCACCTAGACGTTATGAAATTAAGCGCAGTACTAGAATGGAGACGAGTCTTCACCAATTTACAGTTGTATTGGCTAGATATAAGCGTAAGTTCTATGTTAAGAGTTTCTTTTCTGGTACTTCACACTTGTGGAAATCTCTACCGGCTGTAAGCGTTCCATGTCAACTTTAATCTTCAAAAAATTAAATGCAATGTCAATTGCTATCTACTGTCCTCCTGATTACTCTTCTTTTGTTTTCGCTCCTTAGTAAAGTTTTTGTTTTCTAATTCTTCCACACCCAGTAACACCTTGTGTCTTAGTGGCTTTACTGACTTGTCTGGCGTGAACTCGATTAAAAAAAAAAATAGAAAACTTAACAGGATTTATTGTCGGCGGCCCTAAGTTAATAAAATACGCTACGCAGACAACACTATGTTGATAGTAGATTCAGAGAAAATTGAAGATACTATTAGACAACATAGTCGAGGAAAGACAAAAGAAAGGACTAACTTTAACTATAAGAAAACTACGTGGTTGTGAGAAAAAAATAGACAATTCAAGTACAGGAAACATTAAAAAAAATCAATCAAGGGCGGAATTTTTTAGTAGTATAGTAGCAGACGGCATGTGGCATTGGAATCAAAATTAGGAATATTGAAAAATTTAAATTTCAGATATTTTGCGAAGTATAAGGGATTGGGGAATACGGAGAGGTGCTGGACTTCTATGTGATATCTAATCTCCTCTATCGCAATGAATGCCGAAACGATTCTTCACAGATGAAGAAAACCTTGCAATGACAGAAAATGTAGTTTTGCTGACGAATGTTGAGAATAACATGGGCAGAGCATGTGAGAAACTGGAAAGGTTTAAAAAGAATAGAAACTACAAAGAAACAGCTGAAGCTTATGAATACATCATCATGAAAGAAGGCTTAGAGAATTTAACACTCTCAAGGCACATTGAACGCAAGAAAGGTGGGAGAAAGCATAGAATAAGCTATTTGACAAGTTTGAGCTAATGGATAGCAGAACAAGGACCAAAATCAAACAGCAGTCGAAAAAGCTCAAGAGTTTCTTAGAGTAATAAAAATAGGAAGTCGTGGAGAGCTATAATGGTTCACATCATGAAAGTAGATGGCACAAAGAGATCGTACCATCTAGTATGTCTGATTCTGTGTTTGTTTGTTTTTTTTAATTAATTTTTTTTTTTAATCATTATACAAGAAAATTATGTCAATATGCACGAAGACAGTTATGACTAAGTTGACAATCTTGGATAATTCCAATGAAATCATCTGAATACAAGGTGGTGCTCTCATCACCTCGGTAAGAATATGTAAGACTAGCTAGATACCACTTTCGACATACTGGTTGGAAGAAGGGATACTGTTGAATTTTTTCCAATGTCACTTAACCTAATGCCATGTGACTTCAGAATTTGGCGGATTTTTAAAGAGAAATGTTACTAGTCAAAGCCTTGAAGTCTTCAACAATTGAAGGAAAGAATAACAAAAGAAATTGAAATTTGGAAAAAATGATCATGAGTTGCGAAAAACTTGCCATTCTATTCACAAGATTTGCCAATTCTATTTAGGGAAATAAGAAACCATTTCGAATATTAGATTTTTAATCTATTTGACGAACATTTCATTTAAAAATTTATTTTAAATGTGTTAATAAAATAATATTATAGTAATCTTCAGACCACACACACACACACACACATATATATATACATATATATATATATATATATATATATATATATATATATATATATATATATATATATATATATATATATATACACACACATATATATATATATATATATATATATATATATATATATATATATATATATATGTAGCTTTAAATAAAGTGGACGTCATACCTAAGGTACCTTTTCGGTCAACGCTTTTTCAAAGATATTCGTTGGCAATATTAGATATAAATGAATACAAAGACACACTTAATGAAGTGAAGGCGGAGGGAAGACACGTGGTTATCGGTTTTACAGAGCGCTCGATCAACACACCATCTTCGAGTTTCTGAAGCCGTCTATATTAAGTGTCAGCAGCCCAGTCTGTGCAGACAGAAGGAACACTTTTTACGTTCCTTACGTCTTTTGGAGGGTCTGTGAGTTCCCCCTTTTTCTATTTTAAAATCTTGTGGAACTATTTATTCACGTCTCCCCTCGTTGAATTTTAATTTATATAATTAAAATTTGTCTTTTAGTCGAGTTCCACCTTTCCCTCCTCATTTACTTCATTAAATGTGTCTTCATATTCATTTATATCTAATATTGCCAACGAATATCTTTGAAAATGCGTTGACCGAAAGGTACCTTAGGTATGACGTCTGTTTTGTTTAAGGCTATATATAGATATCTATCTATAAAAGGCAGGATGTGTGTGTGTGTGTGTGTGTGTGTGTGTGTGTGTGTGTGTGTGTGTGTGTGTGTGTGTGTGTGTGTGTGTGTGTGTGTGTGTGTGACAAATGCACGGCCGCAATTTTCGACGGATTTGCACCAAAATTTACCTGCACATGCTCCAAGTTAGCGGCAAGGCCAAGACCGAATTTGCATTTCCCAACTCCCATCGATAGTGGAAATAATCTATTTTTTCATGCTTCTACGGAAGTTTTCATGTAGTTTGCTGCCATTTTGTACTGGCCAGAGTGAGAGCCTATAGCTGGTTGCCACGAATAGGCAGGAACATTCTATTGGTCAGCGTGAGAACCAACAGCTGACTGACACGAATGTTAACTAGCATGCTAGCATGCAAAAAAAAATCGATAGCTGCATGCTTCACAAGTGGAAAAAATTTAACTCTGCATAGCACTTTACTCCAATTGACCCATTCACTTGCTTAAACTCAACGTTGATTCTGATTTCGCAGAACTGGATTGGGTGTGAAAAAGTATTTGTTGTTAACATTCTTTTTTCATTCGGTTTTTCCAGTTAAGAGTCCTTTTTTAAAGCTGATTGTTTTGTGTTCATTTTATTTAGTTCTTTTTTCGTAACAGATTTAATGTTTAGTATAGAGCTTAGAAAAATTCGCGGTGTGAAGAAGTAAGAAGTAAGGCATGTAGCAACATCAGCACGGCAAAGGGCACTCTTTTAAAGGCAAGGAAGGGCAAACATATTTTAAGTCAAGTGATAGCGATTGCTGTATGAGTCGTACGATTTTTGAATCAAGCACGGGCAACGCCGGACCATGCTGCTAGTGTATATATATATATATATATATAGTTTTTAACATAAACTTCACATCTTTCTTGTTAAAAATTTGAATATTTTAACGCATTCAACATTATAGATATAAACATCGAGGGAAAACATCGACGATTTTTATCTGGAAAAACATTTTAGTTTAATATTCATTATTCCTTCAAACAATTTTGTATTTGTGAGAATCAGTGTAATGCTTTTAAAAAGAAAAAATTGAAGAAAAATTACTGCATTAGAAATCAGTCGGATAAAAAAAAAACTTAGTTCGGAAATGAAAACTTAATTTTTTTAAAGGAAAATGCCATATTGCTATGCTTTAATTTAAATTCAAATAAAAAAAATGCTTCATTATAATTTGAGGTTTGAAACAAAATCTTCAGGTTGGGTTATTTATAGAATATTCAGACATTATAATTCGTTGGTTTTATACTAAAATCTGACATTGGATAGATATGAAGAGATTAACATAGATACAATCGACTTGAATCGACAGGAACATATTAACGCATTGCAACAGACAGAGATTATAAACGAATAGACTGTTAGATAGGAATACACTGAGATAGACACAAACAAATTGATATTTGATGATGTACTCAAAACAACTTATAATTAAAGTATTAATGATGAATAAACCAAGTTGTTGAGCCGGAATGAAAAATGCACTTGCATCTTTTAACAGATTTTTTAAGGAAAAGCAACACATCCAAAAAGCAAGCAATCGGAAAATGGCAATAAGTATAAAATTAGAAATGTGGTTCTAGAATTTAATAACACAGTCATTATATCATGGCAAACGTCGGAAAAGTGGAAGAGGACATCAACATTCACGTAAAAATTAAACGAATAAAATAGAAAATTATAATTATAGTAATTATAGCTCAATGAAAATACAGTTAAAGCCATTCATCCGGATATTAAATTTGTTTTTTTTTTGTTTTTTTTTGAGATTTCTATTTCACCTTGTCATGTTCACTAGATATTAAGCTTAATCTGATACAGAATTACATAGGTAAGAAAGAAAATTGGATTACGCTAATCCATTAAGGATGACTGACAAAACAAGTACACTACAAAGACGAAGAGAGATTATAATTAGAGCAACGAAAGATAGGAAATTGTGGAGAGCCATGATCGTCTACTTTTATTGACGACCATGCATTCTGTCTTCTTTGTTAATAGTCCTTTCTTCTCCCTTTCGATTACTACCATATTTCTATTAATCAGAAATATCGAGTCATTTTTTTCTATTTTTTATTGTTAAACCCTATATTCCTTTTTGGAAACTTATGGACTTAGCAAACTGCACACGTTAGATTTTTTAATCATTTCACCCCAAGCAAGCTGCTAAAGCCACTAAAACGCAAGAAATTACTGAATGTGAAAGAGTATAAAAAAAAACGAGACTAATAATCAGTGAGAACAATAAAAGAACAGGGATTAAGAAGACAAAAGGTAACGATTGAAATTGCATTTAATTTTTTTCAAGATCAAAGTTGTCCGGAAAGTAAAAAGCTGGAAGAGAATTTCACAAGGGACGAGAATAGAAACTGTTAGAATAAAACATAGCGTTACATCTAGAAATTTCAACTGTAAAATGATGAGACCTTGCCGCCAATCTCGTACTGCGCTTAAATTCATAAAGTCTAGGTACCATAGAGGAATAGAGGAAAGCTCATCAGAGCAACATGAAAATATTTATAGAAAAGTCACAGGGAAGCTACATTACAGCAGTGGGAAAGTGACTGAAGCCGATATGTCAGGTCAGCACCGATAACATTGCAGGTCCTTCTTATCAAGAATCTCTAAATACATAGCAGAAGAAGCAGACCGGATCGAACAGAAATATTCAATACATGGACGAATGGTAGACTTATAAATGTGTAAGATAGATTCTGGAGAGAAAGTTAACTGTATTCGTACACATACATTTATCTATATTTTTTTGTTTATTTAGAAATTTCTTCAGATATCTTGTCAATCTAACAATTTTAAAGTACAAATGCTTAACGTGGCTAGTAAAGCCATAGTTGCATTTAATCAATATTTGTTTACCAAATGATAAAGTAAAGTTTAGTAATATCCTTTTTTTTAATATTTAGATATTCAAATGAAGATTAGAGAACGTCATCTTCACTTTACGTGAGTAAGCATGTTCTTCGGAGTTACTTTTATCCTTCGTGTTAATACATACCCAAAGTCCACGCTCAATGAGGATCAGTTTGAAAATTAGCTTCAGCAGCAGCAGTTGTAGTCACTCAAAAGAGAAGAATGTGGAGTTGAATGTGTCGTACACACATCCACATGTTGTTGACTCGGGGTCGGGAGGGGAGATGTATCAAGTCAACAACATGTGGATGTAAGCATTACACACAACGCTTGAAGGTTCGGTTGTAGCTGTAGTAGAGAAAGTGATGGCACTAGTGGTAGTTGGTGATGGTGGCGACAGATTTTGGTGGTAAGGCTCGGCGGTGGCGACGGCGGCAAACAGCAAAGAAGGGAAAAGAAAGGAAGAAACAAGTCGAGAAAAGGAGACGCGGGAAGATAAAAAGAAAGATGAAAAAGTGGGAAGGAAAATGAGGGATGGTTTAGTCCAGCGCAAGGCTACACTGCGAACTGACTACATGATTAACAGCCGCTGCTTTGGAGAACAGACTCCTGAGAGGATGCTTTCCCGATCGCTACAATCATAACCTCTTCAAGTCTAGGGCCAACCGTTATCAATCCTATATATCCTCATAAACTTATGCCCATAAAACAACACCATTTATTAATCCTCCACCTTGAGTGGCTCTTGGATCTTGTACTAGGCGGGACTTCCGTATTTGCTAAGCGTAGTACAGCACATGGTTGAAAATGCACGACACTCAGTGAGAAGCGAACTTTACTACAGTAATATTTTTTTTTAATCATTTCACCCCACGCAAGGTGATAATGACACTAGGACGCCAGGAGGTTGATGAAAGTGAAAAAGAATGCGAAAACTTTAGTGAGGAGAAATGACAATAAAAGCTCAGGGTTCACAGGACAGGAGTTGCATTTGAATTTTTGATCTTCATAAGTGACAGAGAAGCAAAAAATTGGAAGAGAGTTAGACAGGTGAGAATAGGGAGAAAAGAAATTATTAGAATACAATTTACGATTACATCTTGCTATTTCAACAGTAAAACGATGGGGCATGGTTTTACGCTTAAATCCGCGCTCTCGAGGTATCAAGTGAGAGAACAATTGCCATGGAAATATTTATAGAAAAAACAGAGGAAAGCCACGTTACTGTAGCGGGAAAGTGACTGAAGCTGACATGCCAGGTCAAGACCGATAACATCACAGACAATTATTTGGTTTTTGCTGCGAATCTCGATATATATTGTCTTCCAGGTTAGTTCGTTAACTACTATTCTGTGTCAAGAGAAAAGATAAAAAAGAAATTGGATCAAGACGATGGTATATGATTAAGACGAAATAGTAAATCAGAGAAGGAAAGAAAATGATAGATAAAAGTGGATGACACTGAATATGATGTATGTAAAATGAAAAGAAAGCACCCAGAGAAGAAAAGCAAGATATGCCCTAGAGAGCTGCTACAGAAATACCCCAGCTATGTCTGGACTCGAAGAGTCTTCTTGATGAGCAAGTTCTTCCTGTCAGGGTGATACATGAAGATCATGGTTAGTGGCCAGTTCACTGAAGCCCAAGAGATCAAATCAGGCGACTTCCAAGACTCTTTCCTTAGTTCAACCTATTTTTCTGCTATATAGTAACGATCTGCTTAAGGAAAATATCCGATTATTCATAAATATAGATGCAGACACCACGGTTTATGGAGACGCCACCAGACGAAACATTGCTAGTCTTTTGCTACTCTATCGCTGTTTTCTTCGCAGAGGTTCATTGGTTCCACCAGTTCAAACCCCCACAGCTAGAAACCACCATGACACATACACTGAGTCGACTCGTCATCGTTCCCTTCATATTCCATTTGTGAGGTAGAAGTTCTTCTTAGACAGCTTCTTCCCCAGAACTGTTGCTGTGTGGAACGGATTCTCGAAGGGATGTTTCGCCGATCACAGAAAAATTTTAAACTCTTCAACTCGAGGGTTAACAGTTATCTATCTTTCGTATCCTCATATTATGACACCTCTTATTGCCTTCCTGAACGCCTCTAAAACAACCTCATTTAGTAACTCCCTACTTTGAGTGGATCTTGGACCTTTTCTAAACTGAGCAATAGTAAACAGAATAGAAAGGAAACTAAGAAGAAAAAAAAGAGGAAAAACACAGCACGAATCAAGATACTAAAAGATAAAATCAGCAAACAATATTAGAAAATCAGAAAACAAAGTAGAATAAATAAATGAAAACTTTCGAGGTCAGGTGCCACTCGACCGGAAGGTAGGGAATTCCGGTTATGAGTTCATATTGTCCGGCCACATTCTATAATGTCCTGTGAGATCTTACGAGATGTAGAGAGGTTAAATTTAGTTATTATTTATATTGCAAGTATCATTACATACTGAAGAGTAATAAGAATGCTATTAAATATAACTCCAACAACAATTATGGATAAAAGAGTAAACCTTGTGTTGGAATAACTCTCCTTCCTATTTCCCAATTAGTATACACCACGCTTGGCTGGTCATGTGATCTTTAACAGCCAATCAGCGGACACGGCCTGTAGAGAAACACTCTCAGATAGATGCCGCTAAGAGATGATGCATTCCTGAATCATGAGTAGAGTCGTACGCAACATGACTTGAGGAAAAACAGACTTTTATGACAGTTACTAGTTTTTATTTTCAGAGTTCAAGAGAAGGCATTAAACCGATTTCTATATTTTCTTAGCATGTTCTCTTTCTAAAAAATCTTCTGATTTCTCCCCGGAAATATCGATATTTTAATTATAAATGTTTGGGTAGTTATCTGCTTTCTACGGCAAGATACGACCGGGGTCGACCAGTATATATTTGCTAACCTAACACTCGCATTAAGAAGTAGTTTACTTCCTTGAAGAATAGTTAAAATCGTACCGCTTGATCATAACGAAATGTTCTTGAACAGTGAACTGAATCTTTATAGAGGAAAATACAAAAATTTAATTCAAATGATTCCCTGTCAACTTTGATCTTCAAAAATTTAAATGCAGGTTCAATCGCTGTCTTCTGTCTTTTTAATTCTTGTTCTTTTATTGTCCTCTCTCCTTAATAGTGTTTTCTCATACTAACACTCACTAACCCCTTGCGCATTAATGGTGTATTGATTTGCTTGAAGTGAAATGATTAAAAAATATATTTATTGAGACAAATGAAACAACCAAGAAGGAGAAATTGATATATTTGAAATTGCAATATGAGTTTTTCATTAAAATATGTCTAGTTTCAAATTATTTGAAATACTGACACTGTCTCAAATTTCTTAAGTGAAATATATTCCTTCAGCTTTCTTTTATGTAATGACAATTTTCACAAACTATGAATCAATGCATTATTCATTGGTCATCAACTAAAACATCGTGAGTGATTGATATCATTAAAGCGAACGTTTTCCTTCAACTGGAAATTGAAGCGCCGACCAATTTTCAGGGACAACATGCGCATACAAATGAGCAGGTAACGTTTTTCCTTCGCGGCTACAATTTTCTCGTCAGGGTTTCTTATTTTCTAGTCAGGTTTCACTATCATAAATTGTGGCGTCCGCCGGTTGGAACCAACATCCACTATAATCACTATCAGTTCTTTTGCGCGAAAAGTTCATAAATCGATAAGAATCAATTGGAACGTTTATGCTAATCAAATTTCGTAGAGTTTTGTGGTAGAAGCATTTGCGAAGATTACCCTTATCTGGTTTGCCAAGACACCCGCTAGGCGGCGTTATCCAAGACTATAAAAGAACGGGTATAGCTCTCTCTCTCTCTCTCTCTCTTTCTCTCTCTCTCTCTCTCTTTTCGTTCTAAAAGCAGTAGGTAGATGACTTATACAGGCTTCGGCCACGTAGTGAATCTCCCGCATGCACGCACTCACACACATACATTACCGCTAAACCCTATAAATGCTTTTTCTTACTCTTGTCAGATATATGTATACAGTCTAATATATTTTCACGCTCTGGCGAATAATGTTATTCGTTATTTAAAAAGACATAAAAAAAAGGATTTTTTCGTATTGGCAAATTTATTCAATCGTGAATCATTAATCGATAAAATACAGAAATTCTCGATGTCGCATCAGGGTAACGAACTAATAAAATATTTTAAAATATCCTTTCTTCAACATCGCCTTTCTCCACCGCCGGTTTATGATAATTATACATTTTGTATTTTTTTTTTTTTTTTTTTTTGGTATTTCTTTTTAGCAACCTCGTCACCATATTCTTCGCTTTTTCTTCCCCACCTCCATTTTCTTGTTAGAAAAAGAAGAAACGCTTGATGAAAGAAAACAAAAATTAATTTTATCTGAAGGAGCATATGCTGATAGAAAAGCAGTCACTTTGGACATGACGAAAGACGGTCACGTGATCTGAGTCAAAAAAAAAAAATATATATATATATATAAATAAGCAACCGTTCTAACTCATACCCAGGTGAAGCTCTAGGCCGCCGGGACTGCTCCTTCTCACTCTCCAAGTAAGTAGCTTTTGTCAGACTGGTTACGCCATATGACCATTAGAAGGCGCTCATGTCATGTTTTATTCTTTATCTAAACAAACGTAATTAAAGACTGTAACAAATAGTAACAAATGGTGTAAGCACAAATCTTTATTAAAGATTTTTTTTAAATTATATTACCAAGCTTTAGTAAAATAAAATTAAAATGTACGCCAACATGCAGAACATTGGGACGTTTTTGTCGGTCAATTTCGTAGAATCATGAAAGGGATTTTGCATATAGTCCATAAATATAGGTGATATCAAATATATAAAGAGCCTCATAGACTTTAAAGAATACAAAGATCTTAAAATCTAACTGATTAGTTTATTATTATAGTTATGTGAAAAATATTTAAGCGTAAACGAGATTGTCTTACAACCTTATTGAAAATAATTTTATTAGTTGATTGATTTGTATTTTACGTCTTATCAACCTTTTGTGGGTCATTTAAAGCCTCAGAAAAT